AGAAAAACATCAAGAAAAACAAAACAAAACAAAAAGAAACAAAACAAAACAAAACAAAACAAAACAAAAACACATCAACAGATAAAGATATAAACACATATATAAAACACTTCTAAAGCTGTAGAACACTCAAAAAAGCATAGAAATTGCATCAAGCAAAAAAACAGAAAACAAAACAAAACAAAACAACGTAAACACATAAAACAGTTGCTTGTCGTTTTGCTAAGACAGCATCATCATACCAATTACCTTTGTCACTAGTTTCACAGTTTGCTCCTGTCGTTTGACCAGCACATATACATGTATATTCTTGTCCTTGAACTTGGCAAGTCCCACCATTTAAACAAGGACTGCTGTGGCATGGGTCTGAAGCGGCTTTAAAAAATACATTTCTTGGTTTTGTTTATGTTAGACTATATACTATTCACCACAACCTCTCCATCTAGTTACCGTTTCTTTTACTGAAACAGCAATTACAATACATACCAATTACCTTCGTTTTCACAGTTTGCTCCAGTCGTTTGACCAGCACATATACATGTGTATTCTTGTCTTTGAACTTGGCAAGTTCCGGCATTTAAACAAGGATTGCTGTGGCATGGGTCTGAAACGGCTTAAAAGAAATTACATTTTTTAGTTTTGTTTATGTTTAGAAGGCCCATTCGGTCGCTCTACTAACACTCAAATAACTCTGGACACTACTTATTAGCTGTCAGAGTTTATTTGTTAGTATGTAATAGCAAGACTATATACTATTCATCACAACCTCCATCTAGTTACCGTTTCTTTTACTGAAAGAGTTGTTTACCCACCCCACCCCCGTCCCCATAGTATACCGTAGCAGCTAGGGGAGGGGTGGTCTTATATGACTGATAGGGAGGGGAGGGGTGGTCTACATACATTACTGACATAATTTAGAAATAGTTTAGATGATTAAAAGAATGAAATGTGGGATTGAATGAATAAAATGCATTTAGGTTTAGGTTACCAAAACGAACGAATTTTACAAAATATATTATGGATTAAATAAAATGCGCATGCGCGTCATGCATAATATCATAAGTAATCCGTCAATTTTCTAGTTCAATTTTTCGAATAATTCGCACTTGTGTGTTTTGCAAAGAGCTGAAATAACACTCGACCTACGGTCACGTGGGATTTCTACTCTTTGAACAACACCGGCACTCGTGGGAATTAGTTCCAAATAGTCCCCTTCACGGTTCCCTGCGCCATCTTGAAAGGTAGCCGGGCCTTTGTATTGAAGCGAGACAAACGGTGAGCTTTCAATGATAGAGACCTGTGAATAATTGTCCAAGGTGTTAAAAAAAAGGTCTCTATCATTGCAAGCTCAACGTTCGTCTCGCTTGGATACAAAGGCCCGGCTACCTTTCAAGATGGCGCAGGGAACCGTGAAGGGGACTATTGAACACGAAATCTTATGATTAGCTATACTAATTGTATCAACAAGTTTAAAGCGCACCTTTATCATGATGCAAATTAAATTCATTTTGATTCTTAATTGATTTAACTTCTAAGGATTTAAACTTGAAAGAAAGATTAAAACGAAAGACTCATAAGGCGTGGAATCGTTTGAAGTTACATATCAGTTTTCGCACACAAAGTGTTCAAAGGTAAAGTTTTTTGACTATAACGGAAATATGCAGGAATTTAAAACGCAAGAGGGATGAAAACATAGAATAATTATGAGCTGCATATTATTTGAAATAAAATTTTGAAGAACTTACTCGTTGGTTGTTCTGTACAGTTTCTGCCGTTGCCAAGGTAACCATTTTTGCACGTGCAGTTAAACGAGCCAATGGTGTTGGTACAAGTGGCGTTCACACTGCAGTCATGATGTCCTGAGGTGCATTCATTAACATCTGTCAAGATTCAAAAAAAAAAAAGTAATCATTTAAAAAATTTGACGAGTATGTAATCAGCACGGGCGGTGTACGCTGCTAAAGCGCCTCCTTTCTTCAATACGACCCGAGTTCAATAGCCGGCCGCGCAGTTATTCTAAAAATAGATGGGTTCCCGGACTCGCTGTCGAATCTGTGCACACAGGCAGCCCAAACAAGGCTCCTGTGTATAGTTTATCCTTGGAGTGCAACCACGTGACCGAAAAACCCCCCTGAGATATAAATAACATTGAAACAGCCATCTTGGTCGATCTAACGAGAGAAGCTAATGAGAAATGCTTTGTATCGTCAACCAACATGGCGGCTATGACGTAATGTACAAAAATAAGGGAATGTAAGAGAGCTATGATATTTTCCAGAAGATTGATCAAGGTACAAGTAACGACTAAAGCAAGTTTTGAAGCAAATTGTTGAGTGAAATATGAAATTATCAACTATGAACTCACACTCATTCTCTTATATACCATGACAGCTAGGAATCCTGTTTGTGCTGCCTGTGGTGAGTAGAGTTGTTTGTTGGTTCTCTTGTGTGCTTCGAGTTTTTTTATAATCTTACGATTACGAAATACTAATCTCATATTTAATTAGTGAAGTTCATACCTTTGCAATGTTTGCCTTCGTAAGCAGGTCTTGGGCACAAACATTCGTAGGTGTCGTTATCGTAGTCAGGAATGCAAGTGAAATCGTGAAGACACTAAGGGAGACTTGCTGCAGTTGGACTGGACAAAAAAAGTAGAAAAGAAAGAGAGATAAATACAGTTATCTATAATAAGCTATTGATAGGTGGCCTCTCGAAAAAACATTCGTTCTCCGGCTCAACAGTTAGAATCGACTCGTAAAACAAAAATTTTGTTTAGCGTATGGCTATTACAGCTGGCTTGCATTGTACCAATTTTCTATATTCTTGCCAGGGGTTTAGTATATGTAATTTACTACATTATTTACAGTATTTATTTGGCTATAACATAGGAATAAGCAGCAAAGCTTGTTCTACTAAGAGACTAGCTAAAATGACTTTCTGCTGACCCCACTTTATCGTGTATTTTCATAGTGTGATGAAAACAGTGTTTCACAGGAATGAACTAACACATTTTGTGTTTCGCAAATTACAGTTGCTTTAAAATAAAGTCAACGATTCTAGCGTATGTTGACTCGTTATGTCTTGAAACAAAGTTTGAGATATCGAGGGTAAAATTATATTATACATTGGAAATCGCTCAAAATTTTAGTCAAAGGACGTTCGTGGGCAAAAGACCCCATCGTTAGATTTTTTAATTTTTCGCACAATGAGAGAACATCATACTAGAAGTAAAATAAACAAATAAAAAATGGGGGTCCCCGACATCGTTTAAGCTGTCAGAATACGTGGAAGTTCACCCTTTTTACGGTAAAAGCGCACGAACAAGGTAAACATGAAAAGCTGTCAAAAATAAGTCATATAAGTCATATAATTGGTCGTCCCCATTTTTCACAGAAGACTAGAAACTGAATGAAATGAAAACTTAGGAATTGTTTCACTGACAAACGTACCGTTTCCTTAATACCTGAAAAGCTACAAAAAATCGAGTTAAATGTCCAAAAAATAAACAAGTACAATAAATAAATAATAAATAAATTTAGAAAATGAGATTTCAAACTCACCCTGATGCTGTAGTGATCAAATCCTGGATTCTTGCTTTTATACTTGGACGAAGAGTTGTATTTATCAGTCGCTAACAGCTCACAGAGGTACTGAGGGTTCCCATCGTAAAAGAAGATGGGCTGTTTTCCAAAGTTGATGGAGAAACAAGTCATGTTACTGGCACAAGCAACAAGACGGCGTTTGTTTTCCACTTCTAGTGTACTGTTTGGGTGAAGAACGAAGTTAAGATAGCCGAACTTTGGTGTTCTATAATAAGGCTGTTTGGCAGCATTGAAAGTAATTTCGGACGAGGTAGTTTCTCTAAAAATTATAGCGAAGGAAAGCACCCAAAGAATAGCGAATGCCTTCATGCTTCTCTGCTGGTTCTCTTAGCAAGGTATTCACTCGACGACGAGCTTCTTTGAATGATTGTGGATCCAATTTTGGTGCCAGATATAACTTGACGATCCTGTCGTCACCTGTTCCAAAGTTTTGTTTTGAATAAAAACTGAAGAATATAAATAATTATATTTACTTATTAGGAAAGATCATCGGGGATGAAGATGAAAAATATAATTACAGAGGAAAAATCTGGGAATCTGAGAAGGGCGGGGGGG